TGTTGCCCTCCAGCTCCGCCGCCAAGTCCTGCTGGCTTTTCTGCCATTCCTTTGTCTCGTGCACGGCGATGGGTAGACGTTTGTTCTGGTAGTCGCAGCCGTAGCCAGCTTGGGCCGCTTGGTTGAGCTGGGCTTCGCGGATCAAGTCGACGAGGTCCGCTGTTCGGCAGGCGGGGTCGTTGCAGTCCTGGTCGTCGTGCAGGTCCTCGGTGGCGGGGAAGCGATATGGCAGCTGGACGTCGCCGTTGCAGCGAAGGCCCGCCAGCATGGCCGGGTGGTTGCCGTTGAGGCTGGGGTCGTTGCAGGGCCCCCAGAGCATGCCCAGCATGCTCTTTTTGCCTTTGACCGGCATGTCCAGCTTCTTCGCCAAGCCCTTGCAGATCAGCTTCGTGTCTTCCACCAATCGCTTGTCTCTCGGAAAGCCGGCTTTGCAAAGCGTGGGGTCGCGCGAGTCGCGGCAATGCGTCAGGGGCAGTCGGGGCCCGCCGGGGGTCTTGGCCAAGTGGACGTGGTGCTGCTTCATTTGCTGCAGTCGCTCCACATCGTCCTCCAGGTACTGACGGCGCCATTGGGTTGCCTTCACCTGTGCGTCCGCCCTCTGGTAGTTGGGGCGGCTGAGCGCGAGCGTGCAGGTTCGGTACTCCGGCCAGGCTTCTTCCGTGTCGGCGCGCAGCTCCTGCCACTCGTCGACACGGCTGTAGACCGTGCGGCTGACGTGGGCGGTGTACGCGCAATACTTTTGCAGCAGGTCTTTGCGGCGCTTGGCCCCCAACTTCTGGAGCTCGGAGAGCGGCGTGAACTGGTGGTAGCACTGGACGAAGAGCTGCCGGCGGGGGCAACGCATGGAATGGTGCACATGTGCGATGCATGAGTTTATATACACGTGTTTCCACTTTCTTCGCTTTGGTTGCGGCAGCTGTCCTACAGTTCGTAGGTATCCATGGAGCGTATCGTTCTATACACAAAGCAAATGCTTCTGCTTGAAGCTGGCATATTGTGTCTTTTCAGTTTACTGGTGCCTGGAAGTGGACGTGGAAGGCACCGCTCTTCTGGCATTCGATGGAGCCGTAGACCGCGTCCATGCGGCCGAAGATTCCCCCACAGGCCATGGCGTTGCTGCCGAAGGCATCCATGCAGGGTGCTTCCGAGCACGCGCAGTCCGGGCAGTGCGGGCAGTACCGTACGCCGAAGAGGTGGCGCAGTGCCAGCTGGACCAGCACGCGGAAGCTGTCGGAGCAGGCCAGCGGGTCCTTCGCAAGCATGGCCCGCCGCTCGTCGTACTCGGGGAGTTCCGCGGCCAGCGTCTCGGGGTTGAGGCTGTAGAACTCCACGTCGAGGTCCGGCTTGGCGCGGTTTTGGAAGGCCTTCGTGGGATCCTGCTCCAGCGCGGGGTCCGTCTGTCGCGCTCGCGCCAGGCGCAGCATGAGCGCCGTGTCTCTTTCGGACGGCGAGAACGTGACGAAGAGCGAAGTGCCGTAGCAGACTCGGTTGGCGTGGGTCTGGTGCCTCATGGTCTTGCGCACCTCGTGGGTGCCGGGCACGTGGCGGCTCCGCGCCTCCATGTTGTCCAGCACCTGTCTGGCAGCATGTGTGCTTTTGTTTTGGCTTCCGGTTTCTATACATGAGTTCGATTCGTTGTTGCATCCATGTTCACGGGTCCAAAGGGTCGGCTCTGTTTGGACCTGCTCTCGGGGGCGCCTTCCGGGCGGCCGGCGCCAGGCCGGGGACGAAGCGGACCTTGGACAGGTCGCCCTTCACGGCTTTGAGCTCGTTGTTGATGTCCAGGTACTTGCCGTGGTGCAGCGCGTGCTGGACGTCCTGGAGCCCGTGCATAATCTCTTGGTTCGTGAGCATTCGGCGGCGGCCGGCTTCGTCGGGGACGGCGTACATGAAGCTGTTCTGTTGGAGGTTGACCATGGTGCGAAAGAGATAGTTCCAGAGCGTGAAGCCGAAGGTCCAGTCGCGTCGGAATTGCGTCTCTGCTCGGCGTTGCACGGCGGCCGCCCAGTCGTGGACGTCGACCTCGGGCGCTGTCGGATCCCTGGCGCGGCGGCGCGCGACCGCCGCCGACCTGGCGTTGCTCTGGACGTCCGGGCAGGCGGTGCCGTGCTTGAAGCAGAAGCAGAAGGCGGTGGCGAAGTAGAGCGGCTGGAACTGGTCCACGAGGCGGTTGCCGGTCCGCAGCTCGATGGTCTCCACCTTCTTTTCCCGCTCCGTGCGGAGCTGCGCTTCCAAGTCGTTCAGCGCGGCCACCGCCACGGCGTTCTGATCTTCGCGGTCCTCGCTGTAGCCCTCGGGGAGGATGGCTCTGGCTCGCTGGTTCGCGAAGACCGCGCCGGCCTTGGCAGCGTCTTCGATGCGGCCGTCGTGCGGGGTGGCCGCCTTCTGCGGCTGCAGCTTCTCCTGGTCCTCGTCGTCGTTCTCGTCGTTGGCCGTGTGGATCACCTTGAGCACCTCGGGCGGCACGCCGTTTTCCGGGAGCTCCTCGGCCGCGAGCCGAACGGCCTCTTCCTCGGCGTGCTGGAAGGCCGGGTGGCCCAAGCGCTTCATCTCCAGGATGAGGTCCACCACCACGCTTCTCCTAACGGTCGCCTGGTGAATCAAGGTCTTGATCTCGTCCTCCGTGGTCTTGCCCGTCTTGTTGGTCTTCAGGAGCACCCGCACCACGTCGCCGAGCTGCCGTCCTCCACGCGGCAAAATGCCGGCCGGGGCTTCCGCGGAGTTCACGCATTCTTCGTGGTCTTGCAGGTTCTGCAGCAGCTCCTCCCAGGCCAGCGGGAAGGTCAGGGCGTTGCCTCGCGCGCCCAGGCGATGTCGGGCGTTGTGCGCCTGTGCGTCCAGCGGCGCGGCTTCGGCTCGGTGCTTGGCTTCCATGGAGAAGCACAGCAGCGTCGTCACGCAGGGGCTGGCGCTGATCATCTCCATCACCGTCACTTTCCTCTGGTGGAGGAGTTCGGGCGCGTAGCCCGTCCACATGTCGTTTCGGAGGCTCAGCGGCGGCAGCTGATTGTCGCGCAGATGCTTGGCGCAGCTTCGGCACAGTGGGACCTCGCACTCGTCGCACAGCACGCCCTCGGTGACGTGTTCGGGATGCCCGCTGCAGCGATGATCTTCGGGACAGCACAGCACGTAGCCTCGCTCCGGCACGAGCAGGCGCCACTCGCGGAAGTCCGTGAAGGAGCTGAGCTTGACGTCGCCCGTCAGCTTGTCGTAGGCGTCGAGGTACTTTTGCAGGTCGAAGACTTCGTGCAGCCTCCTCGCCGCCGCCTCGCGGTGCTCTTCGCCGCCTTCGTGCCCCAAGGGTCGGCACCACTGGATCTCCCCCTTGTCTTCCGTCTCGGCGACGCAAGGGTGGATGCAGGCGCACGAGAAGCAGATCAGCGCCTCGACCTGATCGCCGGCCGTGGCTTCGCTGAAGCTCTTCAGTGCTGTGCGATCCCGCGAACATCCGGCGACGGGGGCTTGAGCGCGGCACTTGATGGCCACGGCTTCGTTGTAGACGCTCCTGACCGCGTCCCGGGGAATGGGCTGTGGCATCCGGTCGATCGACGGCTGGAGCTTCGTCAGGTGGTCTGCGGCGACGTGTTCGTGCAGGTCCTCTTCGGTGCCGCTGTCGGAGGCCCAGGCGCAGTCTCGAAAGGCGCAAAAGACTCGCGGCCACGCCTCGCCGGCATCCACGTCTTCGATCTTGGCGGAAGGCGGCAGCAGCGGATCGTCTCGAAGGTGCGTGTCGGCCAAGTGCTGCAAGGCTTCTTCGAGCCTGCGACGCGGGTGCTCGGACTTCGAGGTCACTTCGGCCTTGTTCAGATCCTGGACGATGTCCTCGTGTTGCGAGCGTGCCGGTCTGTGCATCGGCGGCGGAGCAGGGTTCTGATCGGCTTCTTCCTGGAGCAGTGCGTTCCCGTTGGGCCGCGCCGCCCTGAATCTCGCCTTGGGCTTGGGCGCCGGTTTGGCCGCGGTCTTGGGCCGCTTGTTTCTTTCGTTGCGGGGTCGCGGTCTGCCTTCTTCCGGCGGCGGCGGTGGCGGTGGGGGCAGCGGAGGAGGTGATGTCGGCGGCGGCAGCGGCGACGGCGGGGCCGAAGCGTCGTGCGGCTGTGGAACCAAAAGGTCGTAATGGTTGATGCCGTTGTACCATAGGTGGATGACCTCGCTTTCTTGTTCCCCCAGCTCCTCCGCGACTTCCTCATGCGTCTTGTCGTCGGAGAGGATCAAGCCCGCTCCAGCCATCCAGTGGAGCATGATCCGCTTGCGTCTCAGAAGGCTGAAAGCGATGATCGCCGTGTCTCCGCCCCAGTTGGTCGACTTCGCCGTGAGGTAGTCGTGCTCCTCGAGCCACGTCTCTTCGTACGGTCCTTGGTCCGCAGCTGCGGTCTGCAGGAAGTCGATGACTTCGGCTCGCGCGACCTGACCGATTTGGCCGCTGTGATCCGCGAGGGCGTGAAACAGACAGTTGTCATCGGCGGGCATTCTTTTCAAGCACAGTTGTCCGTGAAAGTGAACCTGCCAAGGCAGCGGGGGAAGAATGAATGTGAGCAGCGGCTATAGCTTAAGCTGTATGCTTCTGCAAAGCGTGAGCGTTTGCTTGGTGTCCCGGCCTGGATCATGTCCTCGACGTTCTCTTCCCTCTGCAGTTCGAATTGGTTGCCATCGACACAAGCCATGTTTTGGCTCGGCTATAGATCGTTTGGCGATCGTCTGCTAGCTTTTCGCTGGTGTCTCTTGAGCCGCAATGATCGCGGCGATTGTCGTGCCAGTGTCAACCTTGGGGTGCGGGACTGGCTCTTGCGAGGTCCTGAGTACAATGGCGAGATTCCGCTTGCGATCTTTCCTCTCTTTTTTGTCGGTTCGGGTCTTCGGCGCACTTCATGGCGACGGCTGCGATGAAACGGGCCGGGACAGTTGACTTTATAATTCATTCCGAAAGATGGCACGCAGAGCGACTGTAATATTAGGCTGGCTGTTTATGGTCTGTGGCGAGGAGTTCCGTGCGTGGCCCACGTTCACTTTCCACGCCGGCCTAGAAGGCCGTGCACAGGTGAGGCTCGTCGCGTCTCCGCCCGAGCTGGTCGGCGCCCCCTTGTGACAGTCGTCGAGCCGCTCAGCATCTTCCGCTTGCCAGCTGCGGTGGATTCGATGTACTTGATTTCAATGATTTTTCCGCTGCCTCGTGGGGACGCCTTCTGCTTGAGACGTCGGTGTCGTTTTGCGAAGCGGCCTGGTGTCCAGGTGGCCTTCCTGGAGTCTCGTGATTTCTGTTTGATGTGACCGAGGAGAAGTTCATGTGTCCAGCTCTTTCTGGTGATGAACTCGATCTCGCGCAAGTGCAAGCCTCGCAGCGCGGGTTCTCCGGTGTGGGCTCGCGCTTGCAGCAGCAGTTGCGCGGTGTCGGGTTCGTCCTGCCTGCATGCCAAGACGAGGGGCGGCGCGGTGAAGGGGCTTCGAAAGTTCGGGTTTGCTCGTGTGCTCAGCAGATGGGCGACTGCCGCATATTCTCCTTGGGCTGCTGCTACGCAGAGGGCGCTGCCTCCTTGGCTTTCGGGGCTCTCGATGTCTGGATCCGCTCTGCGCAGCAGCAGAAACTCCATGGCTTCGAGGTTTCCTTCGCTCGCTGCGTGCCACAACGCCGTGCCGTCGGAGCACTCGTGGAGGCCATTGATGTCGGCGTTTGCGCAGAGCAGGGCTGCCAGGTTGTCTTGTTGGTTTGCTCTTGCGGCGGCACTCAAGGCGATCAATTTGGCGTCGGGGCCCGTCTCTTCGTGTCGGAAGACTGGCTTCAAGTCGGCGCGCGCTCGAAGCAGCGTCGTCGCCACAAACAAGCTCTCCGCAACGCAGGCTGCGACCAGGGGCGTCCTGGCTTCGTTATCGGGAATCTCGAGGTCGGCGTGAGCTGCGAGGAGTATTTCCGCTGCGGTGAAGCGATCTTCCCAAGCTGTCGCGAGCAGGGCTGTTTCTCCGCGACGGTTTCTTTGATCTGCAAGGGCACGTGCCTGAAGGAGTTGTCGGACGGCGCGCCAGTGGCCCGCTCCTGCCGCCCACCAAAGTGCCGTGTTGTTGCCTGGTGCATCTACGTCCGCGGCCGCTTCCAGCAAGAGCTCGACGATGGCTTCGTGGTGTTCTTCCGCTGCTGCCGCTGCTTGGAGGGCGGTGAAGACTCGATCTCCACGTTTGCTTCTGCCGAGTGCCAGCTCGAGCGGTGCATTGACGTCTAGGGGCCGATTCAGGAGGTACTCCACCTCCGCTGGCTCGCCGTTCTCGCAGGCTCGAATGAGCTGGTCTGTGCTTTCGTCCGCGAGGGGCTCGTGGCCGAGGAGTGCGAGCTGGAGTTCCGCGGGTAGCGTGATCTCGTCGTCGTCTCGCAAGACTTCGGCTCCGTTGCACAGTCTCTGTCGGAACCGTGGCACTCCGTGGGTTTGCTGCAGCAGCTTCTTTACTTCGAGGGCGGTCGTGCGTTTGTCCTTGGAGGCCACAGTGGGCAGCTGCTCCCCCGCTAGGGTGTAGATGCACAGGCTCCCTGTTGTTGTGTTCGTCCTGCTTGTCCTGTCAGCCATGGCTGGCTGGGCGGCGGCGCGATGACCGGACCGGGGCTTCTTCTGTCGCTTCGCGAGCCAGAATGCAACAGAACTGCTTCAATGAGATGCCCGATGGAGTGCGAAGAAGTTGACACAATTCTCAGAACGAGAAAGTGCTTGCGAGTGATGGTCAGCTTTGCATCCCTTCGGTTCGGTGGGAAGGCTCGGAGTTTTTTGTTCCGCATGGGCGCCAGGCGGCGAGCGTTTGTTTCTGTATTTGTTGCTCGGCGCGCCACGTGCGAAGTGCTCTTGCGGCACGTGCCATGGCGTCGGATCAGAACTGGGGCCATTCCGTCAGTGTCCGGTCGGCGATCTGCAGCCAGTTCAGCAGGATCTCCTCCAAGCGGGCCGTGTGCTCCATCAAGCACCGTTTGACTTTGCTGAGATGGTAAACCAGGGCTTGCAGCCCAGCCGAGTGGAAGCAGCGAGCGCCCGCTTTACAAGTACCGCTCAGCTGAAGAAGCGACCAGGCATCTTCCAGACTCGGTGCGTTCAGTTCAAGCTCAATTCCCTCGCGGAACGGATGCCAATGCGACAGATGATCGAGCAGCAAGCCGCCAAACAACACCGTCTCCTTGACATGGGCTCGTCTTTCCGTGCGTCGTTTTGACTTTTGCAGCGCTTTCTCTTCCTGACTGGGCCAAGAACCAACTTTGCGGATGAGATACCTTTCCATGACTCGGCGACGTTCACAGCTGAACAGGCCCGCCTGTTTGCGCATGAGCCGCAAAAAGCTGCCATCACGGAGGACGTGCGAGGGCGCATCGCATCGCACAGACATGAATGTGACGTGTCTGGACAAACTCTGCGTCTTATCTTACTTTGCTGCATTGGCGGTTAGCTGAACTTCCTGGGCCTTTTGGTCTTACTCGGCGGGCTCTTCCCTTTGCCATCGGCGCATTCATCGGGGGATGCGGACTGTCAAGTGGTGCGCTGCTAGTCTGGCCGGCCAAAGAAAGGTTCCCGTATGTACAAGCATCCCGTGATGTTTCCATACTGGAACGTGATGCGCAGTTCTGCCGTCGGCGCGAACCGACTCTCCCGGAAGATGTAGTGAAGGCTGCAAGAGAACCTGGCGTGCATGTTGCACAAGAACCTGCTTATGGTGGTTGCCGTAGGTCCGTGCTCGTGGTCGTGTGGTTCATGGACAGGATGCTTGCCGTTGGTGAGATCGGGAGGCCTCGGTACTGGTTCGCGATTAGCCAAAGGCGAAAGTTCGGACAATAAGCCGTCGCGTGGTTGGAGGCGTGCTGCGGCCGCTGGCGGGGCGGATGCGAGAGCACTCGAATCCTGACCGGCCTGGTGAATCCGGGGCATCTCAGTGTCGTCGAAGATAGCGGGGCGAAGATGTTGTGCAGAATCTCAACGCGGATCTTGGCTTCTCTGGCCCAATCTGCATCCGAGAGGTGGAAACCAACGGAGAGGTTCAACATGCACAGAAGATCGCTTGCTGTCAGCATGTCCCGAATTATGACGCCGTCGCCGCTTTCCAGGCATTGCAGCAGCCGACACATCAGACGGCCGTTCGGGAAAACTGCTACGGCTGTTCGCTTGAGCAACAATGTCTTCAATTCGGGGTGTCCGGGATCCTGCTCCTTGCGTCTCTCATGCACGTCCAGATCGACATTTTTTCCCGGCCTTGCTGTCGAGTGCTTCCTTTTCTTCCGTTGACACGCGTCCTTAAGCGCGCTGTTCTTTTTCGTAATGTCTGTACAATCGTCTCCTGCGCTTTGTTTCGGCACTTGCCCGTCGGCGCTGCCAGGTCGCTCAAGGTTCGAACGATAGTGAGCTTGCTTGGGGAGTTTGCTGCAAGCATCACTTCTAGCCACTTCCAGGGCCGTTCGTCCCAGGACATCCCTGCACGTGAGGTCCGCTGCTGCCGCTGACAGACGTGTGAAGACTGAGCTGCCAGCGTGTCGAAGCGCAGCTTGCAAGATTGGGGTTGTCCCATCCACCTTCATGCTCACGTCCGCGCCTCCTCGAAGAAGTTGTTCTGCCACCTGGACGTGGCCGTTCTCCGCTGCGAAAATGAGGGCGGATCGTAGACAGTCTGTGCTCGCGACGAGGTGATGTTCTCCGACGAAGACTCTGCGATCTACGCGCGAGTTGGCATCGGCTTTCATTCTGATCAGCAGCTGCGTCGCAGCTACGTTGCCATGCCTGGCCGCATTGCACAATCCCACGGCTAGCATGCGCTGGGTGTTGTACATCATCGTGTTCGGCACGAGTTCCGTCAGAATCGGAGTCAAAGTTTCTTGCGTTGTCGCTGCACGCAGAAGGGACACCTGTCGCCTCAGGAGCTGACGCATGTAAAGTGCAATGGTGTTGCTGTCCATGCAGACACCGTTAGAGATGTCGCAGCGAGCAACCGGCCTGAAGTCTGCGTGAGCCTCCAACAAGTGCTCGACAATTTCAATGCTTCTTTCGTCGCACGCTTGCAACAGCGGAGATGTTGTTTTGCCGTGCTTGTTCGGGTCGCAGCGATGCCGCAAAAGCAAGTCTACGCATTCCACATTGTTGTTCTTCACTGCCAGGTAAAGGAGGTTCGCATTTGCATTCTCGTTCGGATTGGCTTTGGCGTTTAGCAACATGCCGAGTTGAGCGGAAGTTGCACCGGAGCTTGTTCGTTCCGGTCTGAGGCTCATCAAGAAATTCAACGGGCTCGTCCTTGCGGCGGTGGACGGGTGCAGCAGAGCGTTCGGATCGACGGGTCGACGCAGCAGGCGACGTAGCTCTTCCACGTCTCCGTTGGTCAATGCTTCCTTCAAGGCACTCGATTGCTCGTCGTCCGGAGCTTCGTAGTTCAGCAGCACGAGTTGTAAATCCGCGGACGACCGAAATCGATAGTTGAGATCGTCCAGCATTCGCCCGTCGTGTAGCAACCTCATTCGAAACGGGGACTGCTCTGTGATGGTGGCCAAATGATCGAGCAGCGAGTCCTTTGTGGGATGGCTCAACGTGTCCGTCTGCGCCACGACGTCTCCGCTAATGTCCCGGACTCGAAGGGCACGAGGCTCCGCAGTTTTCCGGCGCAGACGGCGCGGCACCAACTCTCGCTGCATGACCACTTTCGACGATGTCATGTCCGAGTCTGACGGGTGTCTGCGACCGCCTTGTTTCTCTTTAAGTGTATGAGTCCTACCTAAATCTCTGGACTGCTTCCTTTGGATTAACTGCTGCTGGCTTCTTAAGTGCCGAGGAAGCGTCCCAAGTGCTGTGCGGCTGTCTTGAGCAAGCAAGAACATGATCCTCAGCTCGCAATTATTTTGCAGGTCGGACGGCTTAGTCCCTTCCCGGAGCGATGTGCGGCGCTCAAGCTCTTTTGTTGTGGCGTGCCGTGCGCTGTTTTTGAAATCGCGCCGACACGTAGGCCGAACCGGTTTTTGGTCTGCGCATGCTGTTTGACTCGAAGCACATTCAGACGTCGGAGAGGACCGGCTCCGTGTCGGAATCGTCTGCAGCTAAGGACTCGCTTTGCTGCGACTCGGCCTCCGAAGTGTCAAAAACCACCGGAGGTTGCTCGTGGGACACGATGTTTTGCTGCTGCGTGAGGCCCAAGTGCCAGCGGAGCATCGATTGCACGCTGCCCAAAGAAATGCGATTTTGCGTCAATTCTCGGAGCTCCAAAATCATTTTACCGGATAAGGCGTATCGTACTGAGAGCTTCTTGTGCGGGCTGTCGAGGGTCATGTCGAAGCACACATGCACGTCCGGCCGTATCTTGCGAATGGCCACATGGAAGAATTGGCTTTCAGAATAGTAAATCCATACCTGTTCGCCATCCACCGTCCAAGTTCTGAGGTGGCGGCAGAGGTGCGAGGCAAAAGGACAGTGCAGGTAAATCGGTTCTTCGCGCTGCATTCTCGTTGATTGCAGTGCATCCGTGCACAGCAAGGACCACCTGCAGGGAGGGGGCTGATCCCAGCGCACTGCGTCTCGGATGTTCCCTTCGATGCGGCAGCACTCCATGTTGGTGCTATTATGACGTTTGGCTGTCAGAAGGATTTTTTGCGAAG